CATCAGCGTTTAAAACTTGTTGTGCAGAATACCCACCTTCTTCAATAATTGCTTTTAATTCAAGTTTGAACTTTTTTGCAGCTGAAGTATCAGCACTAGCAGATTCTCCTTTTAATGCAATGCTATGCAAATTTCCACGGATTTTAAAACGGTCAAACCAACCTCTGCTTGCATCAAATTCTTCCGCACTTTCGGCACTTGATAATGGATAATCTTCTTTCAGATCTTCAAATAAAGTTAGTGCTTTCTTTTGAATTACCATTTGACTTAATGGTATTCTTCGCTGATTTTGATCTTCTATCCAAATGTTAAGAAGTGACTCCATTTTTTCCATTAAAGAACTTCTCATTTTGGTAACCTGTTTATGTTGTAACGATGATGCGGTTTCAGCAAATTTTTTAATTTTATCAGCGTCTCTGGAACAAATTGATTTTATTGTAGAAGGGGCTAGTCCAAGGTTTCTTCCAATATCAACAGCCCTTTCTCCTGATTTAAAACGTTTTAAAATGTCAAGCTTTTGTTCTAAGCATAATTGCTTTCTTTTTTGACTCATTGCTGCAAAATATTTAGATCAACTTCACTTCAGCAAATGTAATTTGTAACTACTAACGACCTACAACTTGCTACCATCAGACAACATAAATACATATCTATGTATGTATTAACATTAGACTTAAACGGGAAATCCCCTTTTTCTGTTTGAGCTTTGTACAAACATTTTCATATTAACGACGCAAACTGAAACATAAACGACCCAACTTCGAAGTCACAGAAATTTTAAAAGGACACAACTTCGAATTTGCACTAGATTTAAACAGGAAATCCCCTTTTTCTGTTTTAGCTTTGTACAAACATTTTCGTATTAACGACGCAAATCGAAGAACTAACGACGCAACTTCAAAACATGTGACGCAAACTGAAACAAAAACGACGCAACTTCGAAATCACATAAATTTTAAAAAGACGCAACTTCGAAGCAGACGCAGAACGAGGCGACGCAAACCGGGGTATTAGTGTATAAAAATTATATTAGAATGAAAAAACACAGCCATAGCATTAGATTGTGTTTTAAATCAACAAAATCCGACATAACCTCTCAAAGATATGAACATTCAAAGTTTTATACCTATTAATTTTTTGAAGTTTTCGAACAAATTAAAACCGCCACAAAAATCGCGTTTCTTCAAATTTTTCAAAATAAAAAACTGAGTTATTTTATTTTCTACATAAAGAACATATATTGATAATATGAAGGAAATTGGAAGACATGAGGTCAAAATTGTCAGTTTTTCTGTGTTCTTTCCTGGAATTCATGACATTCATATTACTTTTTCACTAAAATTCGAATTTTAAATCGGCTGTGGTTCATCTAATAACACCTAAATCTATCTAGAAAATCATTCATATATCCCCTTAAAATTTCTATTTATATAACTCTTAAATAACTCTCAAATTTAGAAAACAATAAAGACCATATTTTCCAAATCGAGTTTTATATCAAAAAGATAAAATTTAAATTTATTGTTAATCGAGATAACAATACAAATCTATGAAATTTGGTTGCCATTTTTTAAATGCAGCCCAAATCTAAAAAACCATGAAGATATGAATTTGATTACTCATTAGTAGGGTTATATAAATCGACTTTCGAATAATCGAACAATCTACTTTTTGTCGAAAAGAGTTAAAAAGTCGAAGTCGACTATTTTGTTCCAAAAAAGTCGATAACTCGACTATCGTCTATGAAAAAAGTCGACTTTGTAAATAATAGTCGAATAAAGTTGAAAAGTCTAAAAAAGTCTATTAGTCGAAAAAAGTCGAAAAGTCGAAAACTGGAAAATAGTATAAAAAAGCAAAAATAGTCGGAAATTTTAAAGAAGTGGAAAAAAAGTCAAAAACTCTAAAATAGTCGGAAAAACTCGAAAAAAGTCAAAAAATAGTCGAAAAAAGTTCGAAAGAAGTCGAAAATAGTCAAAAAGTCGAAAAGTTGGTAAAAGTCGAAAAGTCGGAAAAGGTCGCAAAGTCGAAAAGTCGACTATTTATAAAATACTAAAAGTAGAATTTTAATTAAAAGTCGAAAAATCGACTTTTCATAAAATGTAAAAAATCGAAAAGTCGACTTTTAACTAAATGCAAAAAGTCGACTTTTAGTTTCAACTATAGAACCGTCATTTGTGTGTCCCGAAAGACACCACTTTTGCAAATCTTATATAGGTAGACCTCTCAAATGATGCATAGAAAGCATTGTTCATATACAATTTGGATAAATTGATCTTTTGATATCTTTTTATACTTTTATAAAATTATTTAAATTATAAAATTCTGCACAACTTTTTCTGTATGTAGCGCCGTATTTATTATAAGCTTTTCAAATTAAATAATGATTTTGAATAACTCCACCACATATTTTCCATTTACCATTTACAAATTCCGAAATTTGTTTTAATTAGAGGAAGACGTGGATATTTTAATAAGTAAAATTAATTGGGTATCTGCTTTGTACATCTGACGATATTTGACCCTTATTTCTTCGGATTTAATAAGTGGTGTCTAAATTCAGACAAAACTTTAGTGTGGATGCATAAATGCTAATGAATAAAAATAATATGTTTAAACATACGTTTGTATAAATGGATGTATTTTTGAGAAACAATGATGAGACAGAAACGGTTGTTTTACTCTTTAATGAACTACTCAAAATTGTTTGTCAAATTAAAAGTTGTTTTGTTTTCTCTGTCAAGATTCAAGGATTCTTCATATTTTTTAGGGCAGAAAAAAACTTAATTTTGTTATTTTTAAAGGAATTTTAAATCTTTCAATGAGCCCAAATTTTTCATGATTTTGTGCAGAATTTTTCATAATCTTTTCAGAGTTTCTTCAATTGACTGTACTTTTTCAAATAGAAAGAAAATCCCTTTTTGTACGGTTAATGATACGTATTTTTGTAGTTAATAAAATTCCCCGAAGCCTTTTGCCTCTATACAACAGGGGCACTACAATTCAAAGTACAGTGTGACCGAATTAAAACTGAACAGTTCTTTAAATCAACTGCACATGGGAAAAATAAAACAACTAATTTGAAAGTGTCCTTAGTTCCTTACCAGTGATAGAGAATGATGATTTCAGTATAATTTCTCAAAAAAAGTTTCCTAAATGTTTCTACAAATTAGTCAAAATTTCCTAATTAAAGATAATTTTCAATTTGTAAATTTTTAAGGGACATCTTGGTCCAGAAACTGACTTTAAGTATTAAACAAACCACTTAAACCCAAATAACTCATTACTAAATTAAGATATCCTATATAAAATTTGGTACAAGCATTGCTCTTATATACAGAAATATTACTGTGAAATTTTTTTCCGATCGGTCCATAATTGGTCATAGCTCTTTAAAAAATATTCTTGGATCTTATCGGCCAAAGCATGTACATAGAAAACCAAATGCACCATTAAAAGACAACGACATAATGCCCATTATGAAATTTGGAGATGGAAATCTTTTATTTCTCATCAGAAGGCATACGGAACATATATAAAATAAATGGTACCTAACATGAATACCGAAATGTCTACTGATGTTATGAAGCCATTTTATCGGGATATTTTTAATGATTGGGGTCATAGCTATGATTGAGGTCATAGCATTGGCCCCTACAGTCGCCTACAGACTTGAGAATTTATGGTAAAATGGGGGTTACAATAACGAACACCCCTGTAAAAACACAACAGACCTCTGAGAGAGCTGCCATAAAGTATGAATGTCTTCAAATGAAGAGTTAAAATGCTAATGAATAAGTAGTGAAAATGGGATTTTTTAGCTTTTTAATTCATTACTTTTCAATGTAAGTTTTCGCTGGGTACCTACCATTACCCAACGAAAACTTTTATTTATGTATTCAATATTAATTTATATGTATGTATTATATTTAGATAATACTAATTTTTATATGAGTGCTTAATAATATCAATTGTTCATTACTTCGAAAAGAATATTACAACAAAACTTTTGTTCAAACTGTTGCATTAAAAATATTCAATTTTAACATACATACATACATACATACATACATACATACATACATACATACATACATACATACATACATACATACATACATACATACATACATACATACATACATACATACATACATACATACATACATACATACATACATACATACATACATACATACATCATACATACATACATACATACATTACATACATACATACATACATACATACATACATACATACATACATACATACATACATACATACATACATACATACATACATACATACATACATACATACATACATACATACATACATACATACATCATACATACATACATACATACATACATACATACATACATACATACATACATACATACATACATACATACATACATACATACATACATACATACATACATACATACATACATACATACATACATACATACATACATACATACATACATACATACATACATACATACATACATACATACATACATACATACATACATACATACATACATACATACATACATACATACATACATACATACATACATACATACTACATACATACATACATACATACATACTACATACATACATACATACATACATACATACATACATACATACATACATACATACATACATACATACATACATACATACATACATACATACATCATACATACATACATACATACATACATACATACTACATACATACATACATACATACATACATACATACATACATACATACATACATACATACATACATACATACATACATACATACATACATACATACATACATACATACATACATACATACATACATACAGAATAAAAGTAAAGTTTCGCCTTATTTTTCACAATTTTAAGTTAATATTTCCCCATTTTATAGCGCTTATTATAAGAGCGACCCGTATTAACAAATATCGCTTACATTATATGTAGGTACATACCATAGTGTTTTTCGTGTAATATACCAACTTTAGTCCAGTTTAAATAATGCATGGCATCCATAAATGCGTCGTTTATGTATGTCTGGTAGGGATGTAAATTTATAGCAAATTCTTCTCTGGAGCCAACCTCATTATCGGTGTCAATGTGTGTTTCTAAATGTGGCAAATCTAAGGCATCACATATCGAATGTACGTGTGAACTTATTAAACTGTTGGAAGGGCCAAATATAGCCTGAACGCCATAACTAATTTGTTTACACACTACACAATTGAAAGCCCGTTTGTTATAATGTTTTATTATTATTGATTTTTAATTATTTGTTTTTTACCTTTTTCGCAGGCATGAAATGAGTCCAATTCATTTGTGTATTGTATATCATAAAGTAGATTTGTTTCTGGAAGTAAACCTTTATCTCGATTAATGCTGTAAACGGCATACTTAAAAGCCAATTCTGTTGCACCGTGTCTCTGACTTTCAGAAAATATAGCGCCAATTTTTAAAGTTGGCGGTAAACTATTAACTTTTAAATTTCCCAATATTACTGCTATTACCATAGATAATTTAAATCGTTCTATGATTTTAAAATCCATTTCATTAACGTGCCACCTTCTAAAACGAGAAACAAAACAAGTCTACTTGAACTGTTAAAAGGTCTTAGGGTTTACATGCATTGTTACAATGCCATTTGTGATATGAGTTTGATGATTCAATAAGCTGCAGTTAGATGATATGTGTTGTCAATCTAAAAGTGTTGTATACATTAGAGTGCTCAAAGCTTGTATGATGAAAAAATATGTTGACATGTTAAAAGTGCTATATTCGGCTATGGTAAATCTTAAATACCTTTAGCAACTTTTTATTAAAACATATTTAAAACATTGTTTCTGTAATAATAATTTATAAACCATATCGTAAATTATTTAAGGTGAAAGTACACAACACGCGTTGAGGGGGCAATTTATTTCATTTTAGTTTATTCTTATTCTACACAAAACAAAATGCAACCCTGCTGCCGACGCTTCAAAAGCTGAAAGTTGCTGAACTTTTCGCGGCAGACGCATTACAAACTACAGTGTGTAAATTATTAAACTTTTCAACTTTTTTGACAAAAGCCTATAACGCGTTGCGCGTACAACGCGTGTTGTATACTTCCACCCAAGGCGAATTAATATAAGGTGGTGTTATTCAATCAGCTGATAATTTTTTTCTTAATTCGCCTGGTTTACGTAGCTGTCAAAGTTTGTTATTGCTTACATTTTTATATTTAAAAGTGTCCGTTAAACGGAGAAAAGCTTCGTTAATATTTTGAATTATTTATGTAAAAAATCTGAAAATACCAAGCATCTCGTAAACAAATATCATTTTATTTAAATAATGGCATAATTGGTATGTATACAAATATGTTATTTAAGAAAAATATTTTTTTCTATTAAATGTTAACATATATATAACATAAATATAACGTTTTATATTTTATATTAAAATTGTGTAGATGACGTGATTAACTAAAAAAAATCTCATTTTACAAAAATTTTTCATCAAATGAATTCGCCGCATTTATGGTTTTTGACATCTACGTAAACCAAATGCAAAAACAAAATACATGTAAAATGTTGTTGTTGCAGAACTGCCACCACCTTATCTGGATTCGCCTTGCTTCCACCTTTATACATATCGCACATTTACTACAATACTGGCATCAAGGCGAATTCATGTAAGGTGGTGGCAGTTCGGCAACAACAAAATTTTCCAATTAATTTGTTTTTGCATTTGGTACGCAATGGTGTCAAAGATGTCATTTAATGAAAATATTTTGTGAAATTTTTATATTTTACTAGCTATACCCAGTGTGCTTTGCAACCCTAAAAGGAATATGTATAAATAAATACCAGATTTATTATATGTTACATATGAAAGATGTCAAGCAAATTATTGCAAGTTCGCCAGTTTCTATCTATCGCCAATTTCTATCTATCTATCTATAAAAAATTTGAATAATATAAGAGTTTCCAAGATGCACGAAATTTTGTATTTAATTCATATATGTTGTGCCAAGTTGTGAAAGTCCGCCCGTTATGCTCTAAATGTTCACATGAATTTCTAAGTTCTCCATGTAAAATTTGAAGATTCTAGCTCTAATAGTTTCTCAGATATACGAATTTTTCTATTTGATTCATGTGGGGGCTTCAAGACCCCCCAGATGAAAGACCGCTTTTTTTTTCCTCCAAAATGTTCAATTGAATATATAAGTTCTTCGTGCAAAATTTGAAGAAATTATTTCCATTAGTTTTCCAGATAAACGAATTTTTGTCTTTAATTAATATAGGAGGTGCCGCTCCCCTCATGGGGAGCCTACTTTTTGTCCTAAATGATTATATTGACACTAAAGTTCCTCCGACAAAATTTGAGGACTCTAACGTTCAAACATACAGACATACAAACAAACACACATTCATTTTTATATATATAGATAAGAATATACAATTTTTTGTAATTACTTCACGTGAGAGGCACCAAAATTGGGGACTCTAGCTGTTATAGTTTTCTAGATATACATATTTTAATAATTAGATTTTAGTATTTACTTCATATGGGAGGTGCCACGCCAGCTTTTGCTGAACTCCCTATTTTTGTCCAAAACATTTGTATTTAAACAAAAGTTACTTGTACAAAATTTGTGGACTCTATACGTGGGACCTCGCTCATTTGAAATTTCAACATAAAAAGCAGTTATAAGTCCTTCCAGACATACAGGAAGATATTGTGAAAATTTCAAGAAAATCAGTTTAGCCGTTTAAACTGATTAAATAAAAAACCGATTTTGAAAATTCTAACTACAATAGTTTTCCAGATTAACAATATGTTACACATGAGAGATGCCAAGCGCCCCATTGAAAGTCCGCCCGTTATTCTCTAAATGTTCACATGAATGTCAAAGTTCTTCATGTAAAATTTGAAGATTCTAGCTCTAATAGTTTCTCAGATATACGAATTTAATTCATGTGGGGGCTTCATGCTCCCCGGATGAAAGTTCGCCCTTTTTCCTCCAAAATATTCAGATGAATATTAAAATAATTTGTGCAAAATTTGAAGAATCTAGTTTTATTAGTTTCCCAGTTAAACGAAATTTTGTATTTAATTCATATGAGAAGTACCAAGTACCCCATTGGAAGTCCGCCCGTTATACTCTAAATGTTCAGATGAATGTCAAAGTTCTTCAAGTAAAATTTAAAGATTCTAGCTCTAATAGTTTCTCAGATATACGAATTCTTCTATTTTATTCATATGGGGGCTCTAAGCCCCCCAGATGAAGGTCCGCTCTTTTTTCCTTAAAAATGTTCAGATGAATATTAAAGTTCTTCGTGCAAAGTTTTAAGAATTTAGTTCTATTAGTTTCCCAGATCAACGAATTTTTGTTTTTATTTAATATGGGAGGTGCCGCTCCCCTCATGGGTAGTCCGCCAATTTATTACCCAAAATGTTTACATGGATGTTAAAGTTCTTCGTGCTAAATTTTAAGAATTTAGTTCTATTAGTTTCCCAGATAAACGAATTTTTGTATTTAATTTATATGGGAGGTGCCACGCCCCCTAATGCTAGTCCGCCTACTTTTTGTCCTAAATGATCATATTGACACTAAAGTGGCTCCGAAAAAAATTTGAGGACTCTAACTGTTATATTATCTCAAATATACGGATTTTATATTTTCTTAATGTGGGCGTGGCTCATCGCCCACTTGAAATTTCGAAATAAAAAGTAGCCTATTAACTATTCCAGACATGCCGGAATACGCTGTGAAAAATCGGTTCAGCCGTTTAGTAGTCTATAACGTTCAAACATACAAACATATAAACATACAAACAAACACATTAATTTTTATATATATATAGATAAAAAATACACATAAAAATACCTAAATTTCTGAAGATAATATACCCTGAGTGGAATAATGTTTGTTCCAAATGAAAAATTCTACTCCGGCAGATTAATTTCACAAAACTAAAGTTTTTGCCCAAAATTATGTAAAATTAATATTTTTGTGAAAAATAAACATAAAAATGTAAAACTTTAGGGAAAAAGTTATACCGAATGAAAGTATCTTTGTTGTGAATGGAAAATTCTACTCCGGCGGAGTAATTTTTAAGATTTACACGTTGCAGTTACTTGCCGCCGGACCACAGTGGGAAATTTTTGTCATTTTCTGATCATAAATCTGTAACTTTTTATCTGTGTGAGATAAATGACTAAAATTTGACACCAATAATTTTGACAAAATTTCTGATCATATATATTAATATGAGCTTCAAAAATTCAATGGTTGCTTGGTAATATATGTTTGAAATTTAATATTTTTATTGCAACAGTTTGAACACAACTTTTGTGATAATATTTCTTTTCCAATGTAATGAATTAATGAACAATTGATATTATTAACTAAATATAATTTATACATATATGTAAATTAATTGTGAATAAATAAAAACCTACCAATACTCAGCAAAAATTTATATTGAAAAGTAATGAGTTAAAAGCTAATAAATCCGCTTTTCACTACTTATTCAATATCATTTTAACTCATTATTTTAACACGGTCATGACATTGGAGGCGAGTACTTACCACGCTCTCTTACAAATCACTACTTATATAAGTACTTATAAATAAAGAGATAAAAAGTTGTTTTGTTTTAAAAACACTAAAACACAGAATATGGGTCGGGCTTCTTGTTTTTTAGTTCGCTGTCTTACAACACTTATTCTACTTACTTATTCAATATCATTTTAACTCATTATTTTAACACGGTCATGACATTGGAGGCGAGTACTTACCACGCTCACTTACATATCACCACTTATATAAGTACTTATAAATAAAGAGATAAAAAGTTGTTTTGTTTTAAAAACACTAAAACACAGAATATGGGTCGAGCTTCTTGTTTTTTAGTTCGCTGTCTTACAACACCAATGCTTAGTTATTTTATTGTGTCCAATATTGGTTTTCACAGAAAAGCTTTCTGTGTGTTGAAAAACTCAAAATAAAGTACTTAATTATATGACTATATGTAAGTCATTATAAGTATACTTTAAAGTAATGCAGGCTGTAAGTAGTAGTCAGTAATAAGTAAGTGGGTATGTAAGTACAAGCATTACAGAATTTTTGCTAGGTATGTATACTTTTTTAAATTTATTTCTCATTGAGATAATTGATATGTTCAGGTTCTTTAAAAAGCTTCAGTGTATCGTGATGTATGTCTTTTTTTTTATTTCAAAAAAGTTTTCCTGAGAGGGTAGGGTCAATTATCTACCGATCCTCTTAACATTTTCTAGACAAATTTTGGCTCGTACAAATCTTGTTTATGTCGAATTTTATAGCTGTACTCGTATTTTGAAGCCAGTAATGAGATATAAAGTAATTCTTTTGTAGCAGACCTTATATGGGTGGTAGGGCCAGTTATGTCGTGATTTTCTGAAGGGGACTTTAAATGGGTCAATTATAGACCGATCTTTATAAAATTTTGTAGAGAAATTTTAACTTGTACAAATCTTGTTTAAGTCGAATTTCGTCGCTGTACTCCTATTTTTAAGCTAATAATGAGCGTTAAAGTCATTTTATAAAGGGGACTTTATATGGGGGGTAGGATTAATTATGGCGTGATCTAGTAAAATTTGGTAGAGAGATTTTGCTTCATATAAAACTTGTTTATGTGGAATTTCAAAGATATACTAAACCTGTTATGACTGTTAAAATTGTTTTCCGGGGAGGCACTTGTAAGGGGACTATGTGAAAACGTGGACCGATATTGCACATTTGCATACTAAACAAACATTCTCCTAAATTGGCTTTATTAAATGGGACTGCAGCCGCTGACCGCCGCAAATTAAATTCATTAAATTTAATACACAATACATTAAGCTTTCATTTTATATTAATTTTAACGCGGAGGCAAGGGGAGCTTAAATCGTATA